CTCAACTTTGATTACTGTTCAGCAAATGGGTGTCTGAGTGAGGGTCACAATATGCAAACACATTAGGCCAATAAATGTAAAACACTGATCAAGACCACTTTAGCTCAAATGTCAGACTGATATACAGAAAACAAGACAGAGATGTAAGTTTACCTTACACAACTTCCTCCTACTCCACTGAAGTATCAGTTTCATTAAAGCGCCAGTCAAATATTATGCAGTAGAAAACTAAGTGGAAGATGTGATAGAAATATGATGGTTCTGTCTCATCCAGCTAATTTTATACAGATAAATGGAGATGATTCTAGTGATTATGCAATAATTCTGACAGGCCTAATTATCATTATACTACAGCACACTGAAATTTTGTTGACATTTCTTCTTGTGAAGCAATTCTAAAACAATCACAGCGGATTAACTAGAGATAACACTGATTTAAGATAGACAGTGAAAGGGATTCATCCCATGTCTTTTGTGGAATTCCAATCATACCATCTTTCCAGCTACTTAAATAATACATGTGCATGGAGAGACTAGCTTTTATCACTAATTTATTATTATAACAGAAGCTTGTACCACTATGTGATTTCTGTCTGTTAAGTCTACTTTTTAAAATTGTTCATATTTACAACTGTTTTGCCAGTGAGAACATCATACCTGTACCAGTCCCAACTGAAATAACATCAAAGGTAGTCTTGCCCTCCCCAATGCTGCAAAAGATATACAATCTTTGTTAGAAAGTGGACTTCAGTTGTACTTTTATAATGCTGATAAGCTTGTCAAATCAAACAGCTGTGGTAACAATAAGGGCTCACGTAATCTGATAATATTTATAACTGCATACACTCTCACTTCTGAAGTTCAGTATTGTTGGTAACATCAATCACTGCACTAATCACTATACCTATGCAGAACAGAACCACAAATACAACAGTTCACTCAGAAATTTATGAATGGTAATATTCTACCTTCCAAATATTTGTTACTACGTTCATTATTTTACCATCATATTTATTA